CAATGAAATGAATGAAACAAGAACCATAACATTTGGTACAAAGTGCTAATCAACACATGTATATGTTCATGATACAGTTTTTGTAAAAGGACACAAACTACTACATTACCAATTAAATTAAAAAGTACTTATTACAGTGTAATTTATTTCAAGGTCCCTCAAAACAAATTTGTATCTCCCGAATGTGCTTGGTCCCTGTATTCAGTTGTGCTCTAGAGCAACACTGGTCTGTATTGTCTCTCTATTGCTCTGTCACACACACAGAAGACTTACACCCTCAACTACCACATCCTGACTGGTTGATCAGGAAGTCGACAGAGAGCAACAGACACTGGGTCATTTTATCTTTATCTGCTCAAATAACCTGGACTACACCATAGTAATTAATACAGGATATGCAATATAACTGTATTTGTTGGGTCAAAGGTCAGACACCTTATTTAGGCTTTGCATGTGTGTGTGCGTGTGTGATAAGACAAAGCTGAGCCGCCTCTTGATAACCTACAGTAACCCCTCGCGTCACGTCTCCTGCTGAGCTCATATTAAGTCCACGTTGAATGACTCACTATACAATCAGGGCTTTGGTTTCAGTCTGAGTTGCATCTTCAAGAATCGTCATCAATTCATTTTGGAACAGCAGCTGCACATGTGAACCCATTTTATCATTCCGCAGCACAGGAAATACATTTACACGTCAAAACAAATACAGACGCTTCACTTTAACTCACACAAATTATCAGTAAGGAACAAATAAATAACACTTTAAATAGAGCAGAGGATAAATGATATATTATCTTTGAAATTAGAACATAGTATAAAAATAGTTGCTACACACTTGTTTTTCTCCACTCTGTCATGCTCTTGTATGAATGACAATGGCTGAATATCTCACATATGATCCCCGTTGAGCAATTTGTTTTTTCCCACTGATAATTTGACACGTTCAGCCTCTTAAAAAGATGAATGTGTTTTTTTTACTGCTGATTCAGATCAAGTTGTTTGTCATTCTAGTTAAAGCAAATGATGTCCACTGAGAGTCAGACACGCTGTGGCAGCAGATCTTCACCATTGACTATTTACGTGTTTTTATTTTAAGCGACCCTCCAACCAACTTCTTCATTAGCGCGGTGGCTTCTTCCTGTGCAAAGTGCCAGTATCACAACAACCTCAAGCATCAAGATTCATGCGGGTGTCTGGGTGTTTGTGGATTAATATTCCTGCTATTCTAATCGGTGAAAATATGGAATATTGACATCTTAAATATCCTGCAGCGTAACAAAATGTGTCTTTAATTTTTATCGTAGTTCAGTTACATTCTACAGGAGGTTTGTCAGCTACGAAACCAATTCCCACCAAACTTGGGTTTGGAAAAAACACCAACTTTTGAGGTGGTTGTGGATTAAATTGTGAACCCAGGATTTTTTATTTTTTTCCCTGTCTTTAACCGCTCTTGTCTTCTAAACAATGAGGTATAATGACGGTATGTGCGGCTCTGATTTTTTTATTTTTTTTAAACACACCTATGTTAAAGGGTGTATAGCTCATTTGCATTCACACACACTCTTCTGTTCTGGTATTTAGACTTTTAAAACGTTGACAATCATTTTTGCTTTACAAGCTTTCTTCTTCTTTTGTGTATTTTCCCAGAAAAGCTGAAGACCAACATCAACATGCACAGTTAAAAGTATCATTGAGGTTTGTTCACACTTCCGAACCATACTCACGTTTTATAATTAATAAATAAAAAAAATATTAATTTCAGTTTCATGTATCATTTACTGGTTAACGTCCACTGTGACTGCATCGTTAAAACAAACAGCACTGCCTAGTGGTCACCCACAGCGCTGCACCTTCTCTTCCCCCACCTTTCCATTTTAAGTCCCTTTGTATTCCGAGTCATGGGGGAATGGGTGCAGCAGAAACATGGGTGTAAGCTGCCAGGTCTGGATTTTGAGATGCAGTGTTTGCCAGACTGATACTCACATACACCCCAAACGTCATAGCACAGAAAAGAGGACGGGCGGCAGAGGAGCAAGCAAAGGGGGGGGGGGGGCAGGAGATAGAGGTCTGTTTACAGTGGGTGAGGATGAGAGAGGAAGGGGAGTCTGAGAGGACTGTGATTGGCTGCATGCAGATTTACAGAGGGGGCCTCGGAAAAAACATCCACCTGGAGAGAGAGAGAAAATGAGACAGAGAAACAGAGAAAGAACCCCAGTCAGATACTTTTGAGGGAAACAGGGAGAGAGAAAAAAATTCGACAATAAAGAGGAGACAGCAGCCGGTGAGTCATGCTAACATCGCCAGAAGGAACACGACTCAAGTCATTTTATTTCTGGTGTCTACGCTGAGACTCAGTTGTGTCTGGGAACTGCATGGAGCACTCTGGGGCCAAATTTAAACTTCACAGGATGTAAAATCCAGCAGCACTTTGCAAAACTTATATTTACTCCATAGAAAACTTTATAGCGTCTCAAAGATCCCAAAATAGGTGAGATTAAACTTTTATGTTTCATCATTACAAACGTATAATGCAGTTTTCAGTCTGCAGACCAGGTCCAGGGTTTTATTATCAGCATACTGCCAACATAACGTTTTCCTCTGTTGCCCTGTAACAGATTGTGTGAATATGTATTAACATTAATACACAAAAACAGAAAAACGAAAACCCTGTGAGTGTAGTGGGCCAGAGTAAAACCCAAAACAACCTCCCCCCCGTCTCTTACTAACTCTTTCAGAAGCAATATTTATAATATTATATAATATTTAACTCCTGGATAGGATTTACACTTTAATCCCCTCCCCCTGCCCCCATGTGACACGGACGCTGTGTTTTTAAAGTATTTCTATGAAAAGTGTCTCACAGTGAATGTAAGTATTTTAGTGTTGGAGGCCCCAGAAGAAAATAAAATGTAAAAATGTTCTTTCACCCCGGCTGCTGGAAGATTTACAGCTGCAAACTTCCAGAGCACCATCGAGCCAAGCCCAGATAAATTCATAATAATGTTTCATAAGACAGGGTCAGCTCCTGGCTTTAACCTGAGACCACGCTTCCCTGATATGGTGTCCAAGACTGAAAATAATCCAATAATCGAAATAAAAAGGTCACTGTTCTTCAATTCTTTAGGCTACCGTCATAACCGCGGTCACATTTAAAAGATAACTCCTTACAACCAAAGAGTCAGACTATAAAAAATCAAGCTGCTTTCAGACAGAACACGGATATCATCCAGAGAGGATGTGTGAGGGAATTCAAAGAGGCTCCAGTCAATCTCCGGAGTCATACATATAGAGGACGTCGACAAATGTCAACTGTGAAAGACAAGATTCCAGAGTTGTTCGTGATAAAAACAGAATTAATATGAAGCACCATGCCTCGCCTGAACGCTCTGATGTGAACGTGTCTGCTGCATTCTTCATACATGAAAGTCAAACTCCACAAAAGACCAAATTGTACAGACACTGTCCAGAGTTCATGTCTGAAAACAGCTTCAGATACACAAAGTAGGCCTGTGGTCTGTTGTGTGGAAAATACTTATGAGCTGTAGCCACATGTCTGAACCAGTTTTGTGTCATATGTGATATGTAGATCTTAAAATGCACATGTTAATCAGGAGACTTTCAAGTATGAGCTTTCAAGCTATGTATAATTTGTCAAGGTTGTGTGAATAATGGGTCCCGTACGGTGCATAAAACACCTGAAGAAACGTGACCAAGGTCTAAGTGTTTTATTTAATACCTGATTCAAATTTCAAGCTGCAGTTTGTCACATTAATAACTAACTTAACTTTAGTATCCACAAGGTCTCACAAATGTTTCTGCAGTTCTCAGTCCTCGATCATGAGGTTTGATATTGGCATGCAAGCAGTGCCTGCAAACTGCTTTTGAATTTAAATCATCTTTAAACCCATTTCTATGTGTAATGAGCACTTTAACGAGCAGTTTCTACTTCAGGTTTTTCCAAGAATTTATCTTTTTGAATATTTATAAAACAGATTTTTTTCAGGTGGTTTTATAAACCTGTCGTGGGTAGAATCAGTGGAGTGAGGCGTTGCTAGTTAATTAGTTGACTGACATTGGTTAATCGACTCATTCCCCCGACTGTGATTCATTCAACTGTGTTCTGAAGCAAATAAATCATCTGGGTGTTTCTGTGATTTTCTGCCTATTTACCTGCTCAGGACTATTAGCTGGCGGAGGCCTCCTGTTGCAGGCTGTAGAGTTTGGCTGGGTCCTGATTGTCGCAGACGTCAGTTCTGGACACAGAATTCACATTCAGACTCATGCTACCCCAACACAGCAGGATCACAGGCGGCCGCAGCATCATCAGAGGCAGGGGCAGCAGCAGAGGCAGCAGCAGCAGCAGTGGCAGGAGCAGCAACAAGGGGGCAGTGATGGAGCAGAGAGACAGAGCAGTGAGGGAGGCAGTGATGTTACAGGAGCTGGTCGTCAAACACGAGAGGGGCTTAGTGCACGTGGGGGGGGGGTATGGCAGTGACATACTCCTTCATGTTCTTAGCCTGTAACTGATCATCATCACAGATACAGAACCAGAGGTTTTGAGTTAATCACTTCTGGCACTGGCAATAATCTACAGCGGATCCACTATGTTAAAGGTTATATACAGTATAACCACTAAATAAAAGCAAACATCTCGAACCAAATCTGATGCTTCACGAGACTTAAGTATGTTGACACGCAGCCAGACCATTTACCAAAAGACTGTGATTTCCTAGTCTGCACAGGATGCCATATCTCCACTACATCTTTACATAGAAAATAGTTGTTGGCTGCTAAATTCTCTCGAATAAAAATATTTCAGGACCTTCAGTTGAAAATATCCAGTTCAATAAAGAATCCTACTCAAGGTTCACTCTGGAGGTTTCGGCCTTACAATGAAATGACAACATGAAAGTCAGCAGCAAATAGCAGCAAGTGTTTGAAAATAAGGTGCAGTCCAGTCTTACCTGTTGTCATTGATATCGGTGCTGTTTCCTGTGGACAGAGAGAGGTGCGTGAGGAGGCAGGCAGGTGCACAGTGGGGGTGGGTGGGTGGTGTGTAAATGAGGGGGGGGTGAGTTTATCACAAACATACCTGTGGGATTCATTAAAAACAGACAAATGACTTCGGAACAAGCAGCTGCACAATGTGTCCTCAAACATAAATGACTAAATCGGGTGTTTGTCGTTGCTCATAGAGCATGTGAGCGTTTTATTGATGCGCCCTCATTAGTACATGACAAGGACACGAGAGCAATGAGTTTCTTCACTTCAACCACATGGATGAGGTTAGTGAATGATCGTTGATTGTCACTGTCGCAGGTGGAATAAATTGAAGAGTGACATCAGAAAATTTACAAGTGGACATAAATGCAGCTCATTTCACGCTCGGTGAACATCTGATCACTGCCGTGAATCTGTGCCACTTGTCAGCAGAATGTAAACACGGGTCATTTTACACAGTTTGAACAAGTGACAAACGCTGCATTTTCTCTGATCGTAGTCTCACCACTACCACTACTATTACACCTGACAACATAAACAACAAAGCAAGTGGTAAAAAAAGAAAAAGCTTCCTTTGCAAAGCATGAGCCTCTTCACAATTACAGTCAGATCAATAGTACAGCACTTAAATGGAAAATTGGATCTCTGGGATGTCTGTATTTGTCAAGACATCACTGTGGCACACTGTGTGAAACCTAATAAAGTGGATAATTTTGTCTCATTTGTTGGATCAAAATTCTTCCTACTTCTGGCACTGACTGTTTCTACAATCCTCAAAGACTTTCTATCTGACAAGGATTCATTTTACAAACTATTCACTCAGCCTTTTATGTGACACCCAGACACATCAGTGAAGTTTGGTTATGACTCAATGGCCAGCAAATGAAAAGCAAAGTCTGCATGCATTTATTCATTGTTATTCATGGAGGGAACTCCACTTAATTCTGGTTCGGTTTCATGAGTTTGCCACTATCAAGGGAGCTCAGGCTTGACCTGCTGCTTTAAGGCTGCAGAGTTTAATTTTGTCAGTAGAGAAATGACCAAAGAGTAAGAAATATGGATACAGAGATATCTGACTTTGAGTTTTTCACTTTCCCTTAAGCTCCTATTGAAATTCATGCAACACAGTAGTTTGACTACAGTGGACATTAAAGTAAATTACATAAGCACTTGAATTCCAAAACATCATGTTTCCAGTTTGGGAAAAACTACCCCCCCCTGTATTCATGATCCTGTTAGAAATCAAAGTAAATCCATAATAGGTACAACATTAATTCTGTTTGCTCCACCTCATCACATTGTCTGCTTGTGATGACACGTTACCTTTTGTTACATGCGGTGAAAAACATGCTGGTGTTGTGTGGTTTGTCCAGCGGTGGGAGAGGAGCAAAGAAAATGGGTATATCTAAAAAAAACAAAATATTTTACATGATTGAAATAGTTTTTTGTTCGTTGAAAGTGTTTAGAAAGATTTAGACCATGCTTCTATATTTAGAAATCTTTTGGATCGGTGTGTTGTGAGTTTATTTAGTCAAATTTGATGAAAAAAACATATATATATATATATATATATATATATATATAAAATATATATCGCAGTATGCAAAAATACTAATGTAGACACTGACGTATGTTTCTATTGCAAAGTTATAGTTCTGGTGGTTAGAAATATTTGCATAAATCTTTAGATAACTGCCAGTGTTGAGTGTGAGTGTGCAAAAAACAAACAGGTATCAGTCTTGCCTCCGAGCATCGTGGGTAACAAACCCTGAATAAATTCTAGTATTTGATATAAATAAAAGGCTGGTGATGTCGCTGCAGATTGACGTATTTGCTCGAACCCTTTTCGAGCAAATACTTTTATTGCTATTCCTGGAGAATCAAAGAGGTGTGGTGTTGTTCTACAACTGTCATAGCTGGGTCAGAGGCAGCGGTGGGCACTCAGCCTGTCTGCTTGGCTACTTGTCTGTCTAACTGAGTAATGACACTGCAGGCCTAATCTATCTCCAGAGTCTGTAGCTGATGAGTACACACACACACACACACACACACAAGCCTTGAGCAGCAGCTGTATTCCATAGAGGTTGTTTGGTGAATTTTAATTCCTCACTGTCTTCCATTAATCTATGGACACTTTATCCAATTCCCAGTGGCTCAGAATTACACTTAAAGGTGTCGACTACAAGTCCGTTACACAAAGATGAGTGAAGATGTTAAGAAAAGAAACAGCAGAGAGAATTGTTGTCATAGCACCAGGACAGTCAGTAACATAAAACAACATTCACACATAATGGCTGGTTTGATGGCATTATAGAAATCACTAAAAAATGAGTGGATTAACCAGCTGATTTAAATCAGAACATCTCTCATTGACTCATCGGGCTTTATCTGCGTGGACCTCACCGTTTTCTGAATCGAGCATCTCTGCAGTGTTGTCAGCTTGGCTCGCTGCTTCGGCTGGAGGTCTGCAGAAGGCACAAACGAGCTCTGGTTCAAAACCTTTTAATGGTTTTATATTAAACAAAATCAGTTTGTGATGAAGTGAACAAGAGGGACTAAAGTTAAAATAGATTCTAAACAAGTTGTTCATCATGGTTGAATGTTTAAGGTCTTCACAGGCAGGAAATTAAAATGCAGGACACAGATTATTTGTAGGTATAACAGTAATAGAACAAACTTGAGTTCATTCTTGTTTCTACAAATAATAGTTTGACAAATTAGCCCTTACTTTTTGCTTTCCACTGCACTTTTTCATTAGATGAAGTTAACTTATGTTCAGAAGCAGAGTCACGTCTCAACCACATATAACCCATCATGCCCTGTTTGTCTCAGAGTACTTTCCCTTCCTCCTTCTCATCCCAGCCCACATCCCTTTATCATCTTCTCCCTCATCCTTTGTTATTCATTTTAAATCATACATCTCATTCTATCCTGGCTGGAGGGCTCCAATAAGCACAGGTGGAATGATGAAGCGGAGAAGAAAAGCTGGTTAGTGGACATTTAATCAACATTCTCTCTTCAACTGTGTTTGCTCACGTGTTGTTCTGAGAGTCGCCATCGTGTGCGTCGCTGTTTCGGGAGTCTAGGTGCTTGACGGGGCTGTTCCTGTTGGAGTCGGCCTTGGGTAACCGGGCCTCACTCTTTGGCGTCGCAGGAGCTGCAGAGGCCGCTGCCTGTTGGTTGTTGCTGTTGTGGAAAACGGTGTTGCAGAGGGCGGCGGGGTGATCGCTGTAGCCTCGGATGAAGAAGGGGTTGGTGGGAGAGCAGAGTGGGTAGTGGCCAGGACGCACCGGCTTGGCTGTAAACAGTAACAGAGTATTGATCCATTGATACAGAAAAGACAAATACATCATATTTGTTTATCTAATGCTTGACAGTCCACTGTGGCATGTTCCCACAACATGTTTAATGTGACTGGAATAATGAGCACATGTTAACATACAGCATAATGTAGCTTTGGAATAATCCTGGAAAAAATGATTCTATAAATACACTCAGATCAATAGCTCATTTACAGCAGGCGTCTCATTTACTTCATAGAATTCAATGTATGAGAGTAATTATCTTCAGCTGAACCAGTGATTAAGTGACTTAATAATCAAAATGTATTACACTGCTTCTCTACTCAACTGTATTTCCCTCAAAAGAACGTGTATACACACATACATGCAAAATATTCCAAGTAACTGTTATAGATGTTTAATTCTCAGAATCTATGGCCTGATGAATTAATTTAGTTTCTGGTCCTGAGTATGGAACAATTCAGCACATAAAGCTCCATCACACAGCAGCTCACTTGTGCAGGTGCTTGAAATGATGGCGATCAGCTGAGGGGAAGAAAATAAATTTGAGAGCAGCGAAGGGAGAAAAATCCAACAATGGATGTTGCCTGTGAGGAACCTGTGAGGAACCC